GGAATATAGTACCACTTGTTGCTATAAGAATTACAATATGGATAAATATCATTAATGGGCTTTTGGTCCAGTGACACCAAAAACATGTTTCCTACTGCAACAGACCGTGCTTCATTCACTTAAACCTCGAGCCACTAAATGAAATGCAGTAATCATTATTTATTGATTTGATTTTTTCTATTGTGGAAAATGTTTGTAGATCAGAATTATTTTGTAATCACATCATTATTACAAGATTTAAGAAGGGAAATAACAGATCTTTGTTTAAGGACTTTACTAGGGCAATGATTACTTTAATTGCTAGTTAATCTGAAAAAAGTACTAGTAATAGTTTAAAAAGAATTTGTTCGTTCATGGCTTATAAAACTCCTGTTGCAGCTTGTGTGGACATCATGTCTTTGATTTTGCTGATTTACATTTCTACACCGGCACCAAGTATGGTGTAACTGCTCTGACTGAGGGCCTGAGACAGGAGCTGCGCGCTGAAAAGAGTCATATCCGAGCCACAGTAAGGCTTTAAAACACACTGTAACCAACTGGAAAAGTGCAGTTAAAACAAGTATAAGCTGCTGTGAGACACATGCACAGTAGATCCTACAGTTCTTTAATCATTATCTCCTTTTGCAGAGCATTTCTCCCGGTTTAGTGGCGACAGAATTTGTATCACGGGCCAACAATCCTGATGAAGTGGCTGGCATATATGCCTCATATAAGGTAAAATTATTAATCCTACAGTTTGTGGAGGGTTGACATGATCATTCAGATAAAATCAAATGACACATTTGGCACTTCTCTAACAGGCTCTGCAAGCAAAAGACATTGCCAGTGCTGTCACATACGTCCTCAGTGCCCCTCCTCATGTTCAGGTTTGTGATTTTTCTCTTTATTTTCAGTCCTTTCTGTTTTGAACTTTCCTCTTTAGCATTTTAAATAACAACACTTTCCTTATAATAATTTAAGATGATCATATAACATTGACATAACTTTTCTTTCAGATTGGAGAACTTCTGCTCGAAGCTGTACAGTAGGTGTCATGCAGCTTTTGTTGCCCCAGCAACTCCAGGACCAGGGTAGTCTTCACATTAAGGTGGTGTGATTGACTCATCTGACTACTCAACACAGCAAGATCAATTTACAGAATACGGAAAGAAACAATAAGGAAATTTGTCCAAGAGTTAACTGTCTTCTTCTTAAAAATGCTGGAACATGATGCACTTCCTCTGTCGCATGTTTAACTGTGACCTACCTCTTATGACAGTCTGTGAGGATGTTACCGTCACTGTGTTTTTTTAGTGTCTTTGAGAAGTTGCACCATGTGACCCTGTCATATATTCTACTGGCATTTTTTTTATTTCTTTATTACATTTAACAAAGTGCCATCAAACTGGTCATG